CAAAACATGTTAATTAATGGTCATTAAGATATTAAATAATTATATTTACTTGGATTTAAAATTATTTTTATTTTTGTTTCATACAAAAAAAATACATTAGAAAAAGTAACATCAATTAGAATTTTCATATAATTAAATATATTTTTATATTTATATGTTATAAAATATTCTTAAATCATATAGTATCAAGAAGACTTTTCATTGCTTTGTAATTATACCCTTGATGAATTCCTTCCCACCCGTGGTGTTCGTCAGGGAGATCCGATATCACCATACCTTTTCATCTTATGCATAGAGAGACTCTTCCAAATTATCTCCAAGGAGGTCGAAGCGAAGAGATGGCACCCGATCAGATTGGCAAAAGATGGACCCCCTCTTTCCCACCTTGCATTTGCTGATGACCTTATCCTTTTTGCCGAAGCTTCTATGAATCAAGTTGAAATAATCCAGGAATGTCTTGACCGCTTTTGTACCAGCTCTGGTCAGAAGGTTAGTCTTGAGAAGACTAGGATCTTCTTCTCAAAGAACGTGACACATACTATGAGAAATGAAATCAGCTCAAGCTTAGGTTTCCAACGTACAAATGACCTAGGAAAATACTTGGGAATTCCGGCCCACCATTCCAGAGTCTGCCGGAGAGATTATCAAAATGTGATAGATTGCGTTAATAAGAGGCTCAGTGGGTGGAAAACATCCACTCTCTCCTTCGCGGGCCGACTTACCTTATGCAAATCAGTCATTGAGGCTATCCCAAGTTACACCATGCAAACGGTTCACATACCCCGGAGCATCTGTGATGAAGTGGACAAGCTATGTAGGAGCTTCCTATGGGGTGATACCCCTACCTCAAGGAAAATTCATACCATCAGTTGGAATACTATTTGTAAGCCTAAAGACCAAGGTGGGTTAGGTCTGCGACCAATGAGAACGGTTAATAACACCTTTATGATGAAGAACTGCTGGAGCTTAATTAAGGAACCCAACAAGCTCTGGGTCAAAATCATTCGCTCAAAGTATAAATGTCAAGATGGTGCAATACCCAGAGTTGAGAAGAAGGCTAAAATGTCAAATTTGTGGCAAGGCATCTGCATGAACTGGAAACATGTCACTCCTCACATTAAGTGGCAAGTAAAAGATGGTCAATCTGCTCGATTCTGGTACGACCCTTGGCTGCCACAACAGGGTCTGCTCATTCAGTATGCAACTACGTTCGTTCCACCCGTTGAACTTTTTCGGAAGGTCAGGGAGTACGTGACTGATCAAGGAGCGTGGAAGAGTGATCAGATTATCAATTGGCTCCCGCAGGAGACCTTGAACAACATTGAAACCCAAACTCCCCCCACGATCAACGCTGGGGCTGATGAAATCCAGTGGAGACTTACTACTGATGGACTTTTCTCCATAAGATCCGCCTATGCAAGCTTGTCCACAATTGATTCAAACCCTTGTGCCCCTATCTTCAAAATCCTTTGGAAATGGCAAGGACCAGAGAGGATCAGGCTCTTTCTCTGGTGCGTGGCCCACGAAAGTCTCATGACGAATGAAGCTCGCTTTGACAGAGAGTTAACGACTAGCCCAATTTGCCCTGTCTGCATGCGGGACGTGGAAAACACCATGCATGTTCTAAGAGAGTGCCTTTTTGCTCGCCAAGTATGGAGTTCGATACCCAGGGGAAGCTACATCAGTCAACCCATGAGAAGTAACTTCCAAGAGTGGCTAACCTTCCACCTAACCAGGAATCGTACAGAGCTGATGATCTGGCCCCTAACCTTTGCAATCACAATTGATGCATTATGGAGTAGAAGAAACGAGTTTGTGTTTCAGCAGTCATCCTTATCGGCAAGCCAACTAGTACTCAAGGTAATGAACTCTACGAAGTCTATAATCAACAGTAATAATCTATTTGATGCAGGAGACCAGTCAGAGGGCACACTTATCACAAGGAACTGGGTTTGCCCTCCTTCGGGACTTATCAAGTTAAATGGCGATGGGGCTGTGTCATATTCGGGGACAAGCTCATGTGGAGGCTTAATTCGAGACCCAGACGGAAGGTGCATCTTGGCTTTCTCAAGACAGCTAGACCGTTGCTCTGTCATTAAAGCTGAGCTGTGGGCCATCACCCAAGGGCTTCGATTAATTCACCTTAAAAAATTGGGTACGCACATTTTAATAGAATCCGATTCACTAGAAGCAATCACTCTGCTAAGGAATGGCTGCCCCCGGCAGAATGAATGTTTTGATCTAGTTTAAGAGATATCAGAGTTAGCAGCTTCCTGTGAGACAGTTTCGTACCTGCATATTGGTAGGGAGGCCAATTTAGTAGCAGATCTTCTAGCTAAACAATGTAATATAGGTGAGGAGAATCTAATTATTTACGATTCTCCTCCTAGTTTCATCATTCGTGCTTTAGCCGCCGATTTGACGGCCGGATTCTGAGTTTGTTTTGGGCTATTAGCCCCTTTATTCACCAAAAAAAAAAAAAAAAAAATTATACCATTGCTCTCTAGCAAAAATCAATAGAAAATTTACTTCGGGCGTGAGAAAAAGATTTTTACCTCTGTCTCATAATAAACACTAATGTTTTAGTATATAAACTAGGGTAGTTCTATCGAGAGCATAAAGTGAATATCAAGTTAACCCACCTATCTCTCCTCAGTGTCCTTATTATATAATATTCGGATTATATATTTAGACTCTATTAAATCGAATTTATCTTTATCTTTAATTTTATTATCTTATATTGCCATATAAATTAGTTAAAAAATAATTTACAAAAATAGTTTTTGGATACTAAGGTAATATCTAATATCATACTACAAATTAGAATACATAATTTAATTTTTATTTTTATTTTTATTTCTAAATTAGTCATTATCAATATTTTTTTTAATTCCTTTTTGGAGGCACATTTTATACATCACGTCACAATTATTTAACCAAAAAAAAAATAATTCTCTCTAGCACTTCAATTTGCTTTCTTCTTCTTTTTTTATTTTTATTTTTTATTTTATGATCTTTATATGTATATTTAATATTCTTAACTAATTGTCTCTTTCAATTCATCCTCTTTTATCCCTATCCTAAAATTAATTTCTAATATATGTTTTTAAAAAAACTAATAATTAAAAACAACCCTATGTTATAATTTAAATTATTCATTTAAATATAAATATAATTTATATATATTTATTTATTACAAATTTTAATCATATAAAAATATTTATATGCAAGTTTCTTTTTCCTTCATGAATCGTCGTACATATCAGCAGCACGAAGGAAAATACTTCTCCAAATATTATACTACATCCTGGAATGGGATCAAAATCTTATGTCTCCAATTCCTGTCTCCAAACCCTGTCCCCCCAATCATAAATTGCCATCTCAATTAAATTGCCACATCATTACTTTTAATTTTAATTTTATTTTAAAAAAAATGTAACTGATCCATCAGGGCTATGCACCCCACGCACGGGCGTGGGCACGTGATCGAAGAACCCACCATGCTCGTCGTACGTGATGAGGAACAGGGTCAGGTTCCACTGCGGGCTCGCCCCAGCCACGACGACGATGATTTCCGGCCACCGTATCTCAAACTCAACGACTCGCTGGAGCTCAACCCGCTGCCACCACTCCCGCGTCACAAATGTAGCCTTCTTTCTCCTCCCCCGCCGCCGCTGCGCTCCCTCCGCTGCCGCCCACGACAAGGCCTCCGGATCGGATAGCCTCCGCCTCTTCCTGCCCTCCGATGCCGCCGAAACGAAACCCCTCGCGACCGTCGCGGGGGGTTTCGTTTCGACGGCGTCGGAGGGCGGGAAGAGGCGGAGGCTGTCCGATCCGGAGGCCTTGTCGTGGGCAGCGGCGGAGGGAATGCGGTGGCGGCATCATTCCCTAACCCAAACGAAGACGCTGTGAACGCGGTGATGGCGGCGTTCAAGGGTATCGTGTTGACGGGTTCCGCGGACGGGACGGTGAAGATGTGGAGGAGGCAAATCGAGGAGAATGGCGAGAAGCCGAAGCACGTGTTCAATCGTGTTTTGTTGAAGCAAGAGAACACCGTGACGGGGCTGGCGGTGAACCGTTCGGCGGCGGTGGTATACTGCGGTTCCTCCGATGGGTTGTTGAACTTCTGGGAGCAAAATTTGGTTACACTTTTTAAAAAAATAAAATACAATAACTGCAATGACGTGGCAATTTAATTGAGATGACATTTTATGATTGGAGGGACAGGATTTGGGGACAGGAATTTGAGGCAGAGGATTTTGATCCGAATTGAATGTTATTATTGTGTTACCACGTTATCTTTCTTAATAAATAAAAACTCCAATCAAAATTGTTCTCCTTACCTTTTTCAAGGAGTGGTCGGAATAGTCTACTGTTCTACCAACACACATGCAAGCTGTCTTTTGCTGACAATAAAATATTCTTGATGAAACCCGAATTTATTAAAAATACTGTATATCGATAAGTTATTGTTGTAAGTGGTACTAGACATGTTTTTTAAAGTAAAATTTTAAATTTAAGTATTGTAAAAGAAAAAAAAAATATATATATATATATAGTTGAGAGAAGATAATACACTAAATGTGACTAGTCAGATTTTTTTAATAAATATTAGTCATAGATGAATATGATGAAACATAATTATTAAGAAAAAGAAGAGAGAGAAAAAAACATAAATACAACTCTAGAAAGGCTGAAAAATATTTCATTTTTCCCCCTTTCATTCAGTTTCCTGTTTTTGACATTCAAAGAAATAACACTTTTTTTCCCCACAATAGTTATCTACATACCAAAACTTCCCCGTAAAGTCAACAGCCAAAAATGAAAAAAAAAATCGTCCTTTATAATTAATTAACCGAATTTGTTTCATTACGCGTAAGAAATACTACTATATGCTCACGTTAAAAACTGATGATCATTTAAGAAAATAAAAACCAATTGTCACGTTAAAAATTTGAAAGAATACATTACACGATTTCCATAAAATAAAATAAATAAATAACAAGAGAACTCTTAACTAAATACAAATTAATGATGTTTACAAAACTACGAACAATAAAGAATCAGACTAAGGCACCAGCATTTGGTGGCATCTTTTCAAACAATAACTTCAAGTCGTTCTCTAACGGTGTTAGGTTCAAGTCCAAGCACGTAATGAGCCTCGTACTATTCGATCTTTTCAGAAGTGGTAGTACTTGTGGTGTAACAACTTGTTTTATTGAAGAAAACTCTTGGTTGATGGAAGATCTATGCCTTCTCATGTGGCCCCCCAAGGCCTGCCCCAATGAGAATTCCTGTCCACAAATGGAACACTCATGCATTTTGGGTTTATTTCCCAAACTTAGAGAGATAGCATGTGACTTGAGTTCATTATCCCCCTCAAGTTTCGACCTTTTATGGCTAGCCCTATGGCCACCAAGTGCTTGAAAGGACGAGAATTTGCGGTTGCATGTCTTGCACTCAAATTCCACACCTTCAAAACTTTGTTGTTTACTTTGTTGAGGACGAGTGAGAAGCATTAGACAATTCGCCAAATCTATGCTCTCAAACCCTTCCATGTCTCTTTGCCTCTTCATGACTTGTGTGGAGTTAATGTGAACTGAGATATGAGATATGATATGATTGATGTGACAAATGAATTTGAGAAATGAGAATGTTGTGGGATTGGTGTGAGTAAACTTAGACATGGAGGTATATTTATAATGCGCATCTACGAACAAAGTCAAGGAATTTGACTTATATATATAATAAACTAATTGTGCCGGCTCTCTTCTAATAATAGTGATCAATGCTTCAAATGTTAGAAAGCAGTAATGGCTAAAAGCACAAGCTGATGTGGATTTGTCTCTATGACTGGTCTTTGTTTGAAGAGATAATGACATGAATACCCTTCATGCTTATGTATTATCATGTTGTGATGGTGACGTAAGGATTGTGTCTTTTGGGTATTCCACAAAAAATATTATGCTCATGTGGGGTTTACTTTTACTGGTTTATGAATCCAAACCGCGTGGGAGCTACTCGTTGTTGGTCAGCTACCCACTGAACTGGTCGTGGATAGCGAGCTACCCTACAACTGTAGAAGTTGGTACCATGGTTCTTCTTTGAAATATAGAGTGCATGGAAATGTGTTCTAAGTATGTATATCACGTAAAGTTATTAATTTGAGGTGGTTAAAAAACATGGTTTCCTTAAATCATGGTAAAACCAAAATATAGAAGTTGTATATACATTTTCATTAGTACATTCTCTACATATATATATTTTAGTTAATGATAAAAAATATATTTAAAGTATGTGTTGTTATATTGTTCTCTCTATATAAATATAATTAGTAGCGCGTCCCTTAATTCTTGTTTAGGGTGCGGATACCACTTGTTTATTGTCTCTATGACTGCGTGCGTTGACGTATACTGATTTGGTGTACAAACAAAGCATGGCATTTGAACAGAATGGGGTTGCTTATATATATATACATTTCTATGTTTGTACAATTTTTTCAAGCTGGTGTCACAATGTGATGCACACTGACCAAAAGAAAAAAGCACGTGGTACCATGTTGTATGCATGTTCACACAGACCCTAACATCCCTTTTTTTTTTAAATAAATAAATAATTAATTAAAATAATTAGAGATAAAAAAAATTCTATTAATAAAATAAAAGAGAGAGCTCATCAAAAAAATTTGGGTTAGACTCCGAGCTTAACTCAGAGACTAATTTAAATAGAAAATATTAGAAAGGATTACATCGTTTTATGAATATCCTGAAATTTTAAGAGTTCACACAATAGGAGAAAGGAGAAACTATTCGAAATTCGAATTGGTGCAGACAACTAAGAGAAAGTGAAAGTTGATGAACGCTAGCTCAGTCAAAAAAAGCCCAAATGTGTGGGAGAAAACAAGAGAGTGGAACGGGGAAGCCTCAAACTTACATAAACCTCAAATCGCAACTTGTAGAAATATTCTGATTCTAGAACACATTTGATAATTGATCATTCCACATGCCTTAACGAAGTTATAAAGTTACTTGTGAAATCTCAGTATGGATATTTTGAAATTTAAGTTAAGAAAATAAGCAATGAAAGAACACTTTCATTATAATTAAATAACAGATAATTGGCTCACTAAATTTCTTTTAAATATAATCAATAATATTTTCCCCTTTTCTTTTTTAAAAAAAGTCTATATATCACATTTTTTCTATCAAGTAATTCATTAATTTAAATATAAAATAAAATATCATTTAAATAAAAACATTTATTTTTAATTATTGAGACATAACATTTGTTTTTGTTGAGTTTTAATTGTATATGAATTAAACAAACTAATTCAGCTTGAATTCATTTAACTCGCGAGTTAAGTAGATTAGATTGAAAGTGAGCAAAAATCAATGGAAATGAAATTTTATTCAACCTAATAATTATTGAACTTGTGATGAGTCAAGTTGGTTCATTTGATTATAATTTACTTTGACACTTCTTTTTTCCTTTTATTTCATAGAAAAAATGTCATCAAATATTGTTTTATAGATACTAAAGAAAAGTTAGTAAATGTTACGCATTTGTCAAATATATCAATTAATGTAAGTAGTAAATTGGACAAAAGTTAACTTATTGAATTAATAAAGACTTGAATTGTAATTTTTTAATTAAATTTATAATATGAGAACAGATATTGATTCATTAATTTTTTTTCATATAAATTCTCTTAACTTTTCATTCAATATTGAATTTATACAATTAATTCAATAGTTTATAATTATATTTAAATCCTAATTCTTTTGGTAAAAAAATTATAGGTTGTTTGAGGAAATTTTCAACTTCTTGATTTATCATATTTATATTAATAAGCATTATCAATGTTCTACCTAAATTGTAATTTTAAAAGGGTTTTATTTAGCTTGATCCCCATGTGTAGTCTCTGACTTGTCGCTCAGAGCGAGTTGTTGGACACTTTAAATGAATTCATCCTGCTCAAAATGTGTCTAGTTGATCTTAAAACTATGATTTCCATTTGAGATTTATAACTTTCAAATTATAGTCCTCCTGTGTCACATCTCAACAAAGAAAAATATTAAAAATATATAGTATTAAATAATTATATCCTAAAATAAAATTAATTATTGAATAAGTGTTTTGTGGCCAAAAATAAGATTTTGAAGCATTAGATATATTTAACAATTACTTAAATTAAATAAAAATTATATACATATTTTACAATTGCCAATAAATAAATAAAAAGTATAATAAATTTACGAAATTAACTTATGCAATACAACATTATAAAATAATTACTAGAGGAATAGAGATATAAAAAAAAGTTAATATTACATTAAAAAAATTAAATAACATTTTTATAAATTTATTTATCTCTTTACACACTACTTATTATAAGACATAAAAAATATCTCATATTGAAAAAATCTAAGTCTAACCAAGTTTTTAGACCTTAAAAAAATTGATTTTCATTTATAAAAAAAAGAAGAGGATAGAATAGTTTTTTTGTTTGTCCTTACATACTCTTGACATTCATTAATTATAAGTTCGATGGAAGGTGAAGTGACTATCTCCCATAACACCCGATAGTATTTGTAATATATGTTACTATGTTATACTTATAAAAAAATTTATAGATATTAAATTATGTCAGTTATCTTCTTTAAAACGATTGTTAGGAACATAAATAAATGATGGATACTTATAAAAATATTATATATATTAATTTGAACTAATAAAATAAATTATCAAATAATTTTAAATTTTTTCAAAAAGTTATAAAATTGATTTATGTATTAAGATTTTTTAGTTTAATAATTAAATCATTAAAATTTGATATAAAACATGTGTTATTGAGTATAGTAAGTCTAAAATAGATTTATTTTTGGAGTAAGTGAAGACCTAAACTTACTCCTCTTAATAAATCGTATTTTATATCAAATTTCAATGATTCAATTATTGAATTAAAAGTTCTTAATGTATAGATCAAGTTTACAAACTTTTTAAGAAAGTGAAAAACTATTTAATATTTCGCTCTATTAATTCAAATTAACATATTAAAAACTTGTATGATTATCTAGCAATTCAAATTAATGAAAGAAAGTATCAAAATTTTTAAAATTTAAAAAATTTTGAAGACCTAATCTAAGAACATCTAATTTAATAGTTGAACATTTAATTTAATGAAAAACATGAGTTATTAAGTGAAATAAGTCTTAATAATCTTATTCTTAGAACAAGTGGATATATATATATATATATATATATATATATATATATATATATATATATATTTTTTTTTTTTTTTGTATATGTAGGCACTCTTT